AGCCAATCCTAGCATCAGGAGGAATAGTGTCTTCACATATCTTTGGGACAGTGAAATTGAAATCACCAAGAGGTGCGTTCTTGAATTCCGGATTGGCTTCGACGAAGGAAGCGATTTCATTGCGGCTCCTAAGCTTCTTACCGGTAGGAGTTATGTAGTAAGTATCCATCTTAGAGTAGTCTTTTCTCAAGACTAAGCTCCTCTTGAAACCTTTAGGCGTTTTGGGCAAGCCAGGCTTGTCCATAACCCATGTCCGTGTCGAATCTTTGACAATATCTGCAGGCTCTTCACATGACACTCCCTGTTTGTCCTCGCACTTAAACGGATCTTCAAGCATTATACTTCTAATTTCCTCATACTCGTCCAGTGTATCAATCACCCTCCACTTGCTACACGCTATGCACTGCACCGCATACGTATCGATCAACCTCCCTGGAGAAACATTTTTCTGTAACGAAACCAAGAAAAAGACAACTTCAATACTTCTGAAAGTACAAAGAGATAATCAGATTTCAACATGTAAGGCAATTATTAGAGAGTGATACTACTACTTTAGCAAGCTTCAAAGCAAAGAACAGGACTTGTCAATGGAACAATTGAAAACTACGACAGAAGCACTTTAATATCCAAGACAGTGACAAACATCCCAAAAAACCAATGAATCAAAGGAAAAGACAAGACATTTTACAAAACCAAAACCCCAAAGGCCAAAGATTTCGTGAAGATTACCAAAAAGTTACTTCTAAAACCAACTTTGAAGACTTAAAGACCAAAACTTGGAGCCTAGAGATTCAACCCAAGAAGCAGTTCTAACTGTTCTCTGTATCAATTAACAAGAGGCACCCACAAATCGTGATCCGTCTAAAATCGGAAACCTACAATTCCATGGTTTCTTTAACTTTCTCAATCATTACTAACCAACCACAATAAGAGATCTGAGACGCCAGAGACAACAAACAAAAAATGCCAATGCATACTTTTGGCTTGAATCATAAGCCAAAGGAACGTTCGTGTCT